AGGAAGGAAGGAAGAAAGAAAGAAAATGAGTAAATAAATGAATAAAGAAGGCAATCAATAAAAGAAATAATGAGTCGCAAAGAAGTCCTTACGATCGTTACTTCAACCAGACAATCTGTTTTAACAGATTTTTCGAAAATTCATKAAACATAACGAAAGAAAAAAAATCTATTTGAATCAGCAGGACGTACAATCACACCAAGTGATTAAAGAAATTGATGGATCAGCAAATGGGTACCTCGTGGTCAGAGATGAATACAAAAAGGTCTTGAACATAAACCACAATTGTAAATAAAACCAAGTCATTAGAATGTTAAGCACAAACCACACATTATTTGATTCATAATTTAGGCAGCTCTCACTATTCGTTGTTTCATAACAGGAAGTAAAGAACACAGTCGGGGTTTTATTTCATTGTTTTTAAGAGGAAAAGCGCTGTATGGAATGCTTAACTAGAAATTCTATTACTTTTAGAGCGAATTCTTTCAGTCAACGATGCTAAATTGAAAAGGAGAACTTTAGATTTTTTCGATTTCTCTCAGCTGGCGACGGGTATTTAAGATCATTACGCATGTCTCTTTATCTCAATATCTTGAGAACTGGACCTATGTTTACAAATTTTCTCGCTGAGTCTACTAAGTTAATCTATATGGCCGATTCCATTTCAACGTTATTATATTCATCAATATGTATGATTCTCTCGCCACCAAAATTGACCCTCGGTTTTCGCGGTCGTATAACAGGTTCTATATTAAGTTCTAAATCTTTTTCTCCTTCCTTTGCTTCCTTAAGATATTCCATTTGGCAGATTCGCCTCCATGATTTCAGTCTTTGTCTGTTGGGTTTCCCGACACTTTCGGCATTCCAGGCTTCAGCACGTATAAGAGCAGTGTTACTCCACGGCTGTCCATGATAGAAAACCTCATCGCGCGCGTTAGGGTCATTTCTTCGTCGAAAAGCACCTGTCCTTTTTGTATAAGCGTTACGCTTTTTCTTAGTATAGTTTTTAAAGTGCTTTTTTGAGGTATTGGTATGGAATATGCAAAGTCGGCTCCGACAGGTACCGCAAGGGAGAAGCGCGAGGATGTCTTTGCAGTATCGCGAGTGAAGAAAAACAAAAATAAAAGGATTGATGGCGGAATTAGAGTACGTCAAGATATTGCAAAACACGAGAATAGTACCAAAATGTTTGTAGTGGGAACCAGACCCATAGTCGTGCCAAATCCACATGATATGGTAAGGTACCATACACAGCCCAAACACAACAACCGCAAGAACAAATATCTTGACAATTCTCATGTTTCTCTGAGCCCTTGCCTTGATAAGATGTTTTTTCCCCTGGCTTGGTACCTCGCCAATAGCTTTCCTAATGCGCTCAATGTCCTTCCAAAGCTTCGAGCTGATGGTTACATAGTTAGCAGTAATCGCAAACAAGGGCAACAGAAAAATTACAATGAATAAAGACAGCGTATAGGCCTTGGCGTAGGTGTTTTCTGGCCAGTGTTCTTGGCAATCACTCGAGTTATTAGTGTACCCAACATCGAGTATTGCGATGTACGGCGCCACTAGAAACACGCTGAATACCCATAGAATCAAAATCACGATAAACACTCTCCAGATCTTGACTTTAGGTTTAAAAGGTCGTATAATTGTCCTCCGGCGTTCTAGGCTCATGCATAGTAAAGTATAGACCGATACAGATATCAGTATAGTCTGTAGAGGATAGACCACTTTACAAAGAATGGAYCCAAATGGCCAATTTCCAGTCAAAACTTCCACAAAGTCAAACGGGATGCTGATCATGCAAGTTGCTAGATCTGTAGCTGCGAGGTTCAGGATGAAGCAGTCGATGATACGAAGTCTTGAGCGCCGACGAACAGCAACACAGATTAACGTGTTTCCAATGAGCCCAAACGCGATGATAAGCGGGAAACACATGAGTTGGACAACACTTACATCGAAACTCTCCTCAGAATCTGAGGCAGTTTGGTTTAACATGGCAGTAAAATCTACTCGAGGAGGATTTGACCAGTTGGCTGTCATATTTGCTATACTTCTTGTTTTCTCTCGCGGCATGTAACTTTAAGAAAAGTCCTTCTCAAGTGTCCAGGGTTTCGYCTTTCTATTGGATTTTTAAGCTCGCACAAACCAACACACTATTATCTTATTTTGGAGGAGACCGTCTTTAGAAAACTGYGCGCTCTCATGAATTTTATGCTTGTCAAACAAATCAACACTAACCATTGCCTGGAAGAGATTGTCTTTTGAACTGCGCTCTTCGCTTGAATCTTATGCTTGTCGTACAAAACAACGTAGACCATTGCTTGAAAGAGACCGTCTTATAAAAACTGTGCTCTCCTCTTGAACTTTATGGTTGTCGCACAAATTAACATAAACCATTGGTTGGTAGAGACCGTCTTATAAAAACTCTGCTCTCCACATTACACATCACTATTAAGTCAAGAAATAATTTACCAACCATATATAGCCGCTTGATGATAATGCTAATCGCTCTGCGACGGTTTGTAATTTCATAAAAGTTAAATTTCTCTTAGAATCAGATGATCAAGATCCGTCAAGTACTTGTGCAACTGCTAGCCGCTCGAATGATAGCTGTAAATGAAAGAAAAGGAGAGAAAAACCAGTTAAAAATGTGTGGGTGGAAAAAGAACATGTTGATCAAATCAATTTTTTGTTCAGTTCTACGTCGATTAGGGTCGTCGGAACCACCAGCCCACGCAAGATAATGTCAAAAAAATATAACCAAAAATTCTTTCTTTCACATTAATTCTGAATTCTCGCCAGTCTTGAAAGTCAAGAAAGGATTTATGCCGCAGGAAACGACGGAAAAGCTTAAGTAAAAGAAATTGGTCTCGCATGCATTTGAAATTTGAGTCCACTAACTTGAAAGCAATACTTACCGCAGCTTTTACTWTAAGTCTGTTTTATTTATCTCGAGAATTGGAACCGCACGCGCTTTTATATTTCCAGGACAAATATCTAATGTTTATTTCTCAATTAGTTTTCTCTTTACAATTTCGCTTGAAGAAACCGTGACTGGAATTTAATCATTTTCGATAAAAAGAGGCGCTAAAACAATGATTCAGAAAACGAAAAGCGCCGAACGATGATAAGATTGAAATATGGAGAGGGGAGGGGGGCTATTGTTGAAAAGATCAAGTCCTTTTCATTAAAACTACATGTTTTAAGACGCTACAAAATGTAATCTGTTTAAAACCTCATTTTCTCTTCACCTTCAAATTTYTCTAACCAGAGTATGCCCCCAGGCTTGATACTCAGGTTAAAATTTCTCCATCTCCCAATAATTGTACAAGTAAGATTTCTGTCTCAACTTTCTCTGATTACCTTCATCTGTTGTGTTAGAGTCTAAAACGTCTATCAAGTCATTTTAGAGTACAAAGGAACGAGTCACCGAAAGAAGTCTTAAGGAAATCCGAAACTTAACAATTATTCTTTCTTTTTTTTTGTTTTGAATAGGATTTAAAACTGCCTGTCACATTTAGTTGGGGTGTAATCAAAGGTTGTTGTACTACTACAATTGCAATTATAAGTTGGAAACTGAGTACTTTAATGACTTAGTCGTTTGATCAATGGGAGTTATCATCAGAATGAACAGAAATTGGCCTGTTGTTTAAAAGGAATTTTTAATTTTCAACTGTACCACATATTCTCTTTAAGAATGAATTTCCTTGGCTCGTAAAAAAGTTAATAGACAATGGTTTCGTTGGTTTTTTTTTTTTTTTTGATGTACCTTGACGTACTGTAAGTCACTGATGAGCCTATATCAGATAACTTTAGATGAGTAAAACAGACAAATAATTGGTCGCTTTCAATCACGTGACTTTTTTGGAGTTGACTGGGGGGCAAACAAGCGGTTGACTGAGGGGCAACTAGCGGATATTAAGTCGGAACATGTCAAAATAAGTCCTCAAACTATTGTATTTGACTATTTCTACGACAGGAAACCAGAAAAAAAGAGATCAAAACAACCTCCAAGATTCTACAAGCCATTATAAATACAGCTCTTACCGTAGTTGGAAAGAGAATGTTAAAATTAGTTGAACTGTGAAGTTTGGAATAAGTAAGTTCAAAACTCGTTAGTTAAGATATGGTCTTTGAAAAGTGTGAATGTTTTTGCTGGTATGCATTATATCTTGCCTACCAACGAATGTTTTTCATATAAAATTTCGATATTTGAAAAATCATATCTTTATCTCACTTAGGGACGGACCATTAGACAATTGAGGAGGGGGTTGCGTAAATCCCCAAAAATATATCGAGCAAGAACTTCACCTACTAAAAAAATATCGCGCAACCTCTCCTTTCCGAGTAAAGAAATATCGAGCAAACACAAAACAAAATTGCTTGCAGGGGTTGTTACAAAAAAAAATCGTGCAACATAAATTCCTGCAACCTCCCCCTCGATTATCTAATGGACCATCCCTTGCTCTTACGAAGGACTAACGTCCGAACGTCAGTTTCACAAAGCTTTTTACGGTTATCCAATTCATCTACAAGTTCCTACTGTCATATCTTTATAGTACTGTTTTTCGATTTGGACCAGGAAGTCGTTTTCGCCTACGACTGACTTCCACTACCTTAGTACTATTACAGGGATCTGATCAATGTCCTCCCTGACCATTCAAAATCGTAAGAACAAAACAAGTCAATATCGCCCACGTCCCCTCTTCCCTAACTAGCTATATCAGCGCGATACCACTCATACCATCTCAAAAACTCACCTACTTATAAATTGTATTTACTGCAATTAATATTTTTTTTGTGGGCGAACGTTTCTTTACTTATAGTACACTAAACAAAATTACTCGACTCTGATTGGTCGAGAGGAGTACAATTATAGCGTTAATTGTACTCCGTACGAGTACCGAATTAAGTCGCTATGGCAACACGGCCAAAACAATGTCAAAACAATTATTTTCTATCATTTTGTACTTAAAAAACATAAATAAAATTTTAAGCCGTAAGAACTAATCTTTTTTATGCATTTCAGTTGCGCGATGGACTGAAAATCGGCCGCCAAATAGACAAAGGTGAACGGCGTCGCTTCGCATTTTTTGCTGAAATTTTGTTGAGTGAACTATAAACAAAAAATCGCACGATCTTCTCGAGATCGTGCGATTTCCTATACAAATACAAATTATTGAATAAAATTTGTTTGTATGCAACTTCATATATAAATCAAACGATCACCGGCACCACAGTACAACATTTTGTTGCCAAGCAACCAAAAATCAGCTTATTTCTTGAAATTTTAACTCCTAGAAAATGTGATAAGCCTCCTCCCACAAAATATCTGGGCCAAACTGATTAATCCGTGAAACACTAATTACTAAATAGTACAAAATAGTGCTAATTAAACAATAGAAAACAATGGAGTTTGCATGAAATTGTGCTGCTTAGTATTACTAAAGTTTCACGGTTATATTGTTCGCTCTCTATTTGTGTTTACTTTTTTGTAAATAGTAGATATTAGATAAAATGTGTTTGTACACAGCCTTTATAAATGAAAAACATCAAAGGAAACCGCCAGGAACAAAAAAGATTTTTTCTCAGCAACCAAAAATTTAATTAATAAATGGTTTTATTTCAATTTTTTTATTTTGGGATCTTTATTTTTTTAGAAAATGTGACCTGGTTGGGTCCAAGTTCAAGCTAACTAACAAATCAAATTGGAAAGTTAAAGTTAAGAAAATATTTTGGAATCTTTAATTTTTTAGACAATATGACCTGGTTGGGTCCAAGTTCAAGCTAACTAACAAATCAAATTGGAAAGTTAAAGTTAAGAAAATATATATAAATAATATTTCGGTCTCGAAAATTAGCGTTAAATTAAACTAGGACTGGTCTTAAGCTTTGTACGGTTTTTTTTTTTTGGGTTTGTTTTATTGAAAAGCATGGCTTTAAAAGAGGTAATAAAGACTTAGGTGTAAAAACATTAAGACAAATTAGGTCTAAAATAATAAGACTGTTATATATCCTTAATCTCTTAAAATAAAAAGAGAAAAAAATTCCACCTTAAACGGTAATAATAACGACTGAAAACATCTGCTTCGGAAAGGTAGTGTATTTTATACTACGTATGCGCATGCTCCGCTCTAAAAAGCACAAAGAGTAAATGTACATGTTGAAAATACGGCTGGTCTTAAAGAGAATATAAAACCGGATCGCAGTAAAATGAAGATATGGAGAGACTAGGCAGGAGAGAGAAAGGAAGGAAGAAAGAAAGAAAGANAAATAAGCAAAATAATAATCATGACATTTTATCAGATACTTTTGAATTAGTTAAACAAAAAAACAAAAAAAACAAACAAACAAGCAAAAAACAAACAAAAAAAAACAAAAACCAAAAAAAAATACCATAGCTAGAAAGAACACGCTAAAATTAATGAGAAATGTGAAGTTTGAAGGAAAAAATTTCAACACTTGTGAAGATAAGATTTTTGAAAATTGTGAATTTTCTAAGAAAATATTTGCTGGTAGTGCTCTGCTTCCATTTCGATTTTTTGAAAATTTACAACTTCGATATTTCAGTTAAACTTACTTCTTTCAAACTTCACAGTTTTACTAATTTGAACATACTGTTTCCACTCCATGGTAAGTTCAGTTAAACGCAAAACATTCAAACAAGCAAAATTAAAAATTAAAAAAACAAAAACAAAAAAAACAAAAAACAAAACCAACAACAACAACAACAACACACACACACACACACAAAATGAATCCCACAAATTGTCGAAATGTTTCCAAAAAAGCAATATCACCGAGATAATACTGATCATATACTAATTATCTACTAATGATCGGTAAAATAATTCTGTCTTCTAACCGTTTCGTTCTACATTCTTCAAGTTCATTTTCATTGTCGCCATGCTGAATTCTTTGGTTACCTTCACTATGTCCTCCAACATGGCGGCCATGGATTTCAAGGATAAAAAACACTTGGTACAGATTACGAACCATGATAAATTTTATTTACAAAGCAAGAAAGCTCGATCAGCAAAAGCTGAATAAGAGACTATCAAAAAAGTCAAAATAAGCGCTTAGTCATGGGTTCAACGAAGAGTTTTGAAGAGCAGAATAAATATTGAGCCGGATACTACGCTATTAGAGCTGATTTTAAATCAGTTCTTGATGGAGTTTGATATATGTTATCTTGTTTGAGTGGATTTTGTGTCCGCAAGAAAAAAATCATGAATTTCTGCTTCATTTAAAAAATAAATATTTACAGAAAAAAAGATAAACTCTGAAAATGAGTACAAACAAATAAATATGATAAAAAATGATAAAGACTATCTTATATTCCCTGAAGGAATTTTATCTTAACTTAAGAGAAAATTAAAAAAAGAATTAAAAAAAAAAGGTATTCTTAATTTTGTTTGTTTTGTTTTGATACTTCATAAAATGAATTTATAAAAATGTTTAAATATTTATTCACAGAACTTCTTAGCCGGCCTAAATATTACTTAACTGTCGTATCCTTTCACAATAACAAACATTAGAATATTMAAAAAACAAATACTTTTTTCTATTAACAAATATGTGCAAAACAATTTTTTTWATCGTATTTCTAGCCAACTAATGTTCGGCATCTTCAAACGGCCCTTCTTTAGAAATGAAACTAAATTTTTACCGAGTTTTTTTGAATAAAATATTTTTCAAGATTGAAGGAATTGGGTTATATCCGATATATGATTTATGATTTATTTTTATGATTTTAATTTTCAAATAGATAGCGATGTATATAAGAAGAGATAAACAGCTAA